ACTGGAAGGGGTTTGGGTAGGCCTGCGAGTTGCATGGCATGGAATCGTAGAGAATCACCAGGCTGGGTCAAATGGTGTCGGCCAGGGTGATGGAGACACAGATGTGGTGCCCATCTGTGTGTGCAGGCTGAGTGAGGGGAGGGTCAGCAAAGGAACAATGGCCTCGGCCAGCTCTTCTGTCTGGGATAAAGCTGCCCCTAGCTCTCGCCCTGATGTCAGACAATTCATTTTCTTCCTATATGTTCCCGGTTCCTTTCAAGCTGGTATCCGGTGCTGGCATTCAGAGGGACTGAGTTCAAGTAAGTCTGTGTGTGGGCCCTTTACAGGGAACTCCTGGGACTCCAGAAGCCCTCCATCTCACTCAGCCTCAATCCCTCTGGTTTTTACAGCCAGAAGTTATGGGGACTTCTCTTCCTGGTACTGGAAGCCTGGGCTGGGACACCTGATGTGAGGATGGGACCCTTCTCTTCTCAGGGGGAACCTCTGAAGCCAAGATCTCTTCCAATTTTTAACTGCCACATAAGGGTGTGGAACCAGCCTGTTAGGAGGAGTCTCTGTCCCTCCTACCAGTCTGGATATACCTTCTTGTTTATGTCCTCAGTTGTAGGACTTCCTTTCAGCTGGAATTCAGACTGTTCTAAATGATGTCTGTTCTGTAGTTTAGTTGAATTTTGATGTGGTTGTGGGAGGAGGCAAGTACTGTGTTTACCATCTTGACTGGAAGCCTTCTTATGCATTCTTGTCAATGGAAAAGAATGCCAGGATTTAAGAAATTTTTCTCCAAAAAGTTAATCTATCCTTCAGGGGCACAAAACAAGGGGAAGCCATTTTTTTTCTCTTTTTATAAAAAAAACAATCATTGCTTAGGAAATGTTTGAAAATACACTTCAGTAAGAACATTATCTCTAAGGAGCAAAAAAAAAATAAAACAAAATCACGGTTAAAATATTAATTTTGTTACCTGTTTAATGGTTTTCTCAGAATTTCAATCTCTAGTAGTAACTAAGTTACCTTTTCCTTCTAAAATTGCCAGATTCTTAAGGATTATTTCCCTCACTGCTCAGTCCATGTCCATGGGTCAGTTGCAGTTGGACACAAGTGACAGAAAAACAGAGATATGGCAAGTAGGTGGGGCCCCAGCTACCTCAGAATTTATTCTTTCCATAAAAGGAAACCAAGAAGGAAATGCTGTGGTACCTGCTGGGTGAGGGTGACCGCACAGGTCTAGGGAAATACTTGGGAGAGAAAAAACAAAAACCTAAAGGCTGTCTTTGCTAGGATAAGGAGCAGAACAAAGTCCTGTGGGAAACCTGGACGTCGGACAGAACGTGCACATCTGAGAAACATCAGGCAGTGCAGAGGAGCTAGAGCAGAGGCCGCACTGGGACAGCTGCAGGGGCACAGGTGCCAGGTCTTGCATGTCCTGTGGGTGCTGAGGAGGAGACTGGCACCAGTCCTAGGGAAGACAGAAAGCCCCTGAAGGGTTTTTGGCCAGAATGACACAATCAGTTTGCTTTTTAAGAAAAACTTGCCTGACAGCAGAGTAAAGAAAGGCATGAGAGAGAACTCCTGACTACAGAGAGGGCCTTCAAAAGCAGAAGCAGCAGCAGCAGTGAGCCCGGTGAGGTGATGGGCATGAAAATGGGTGAGAGGGATGGAGAAAAGTGCTGAGAAGACAGACACACTGCAGACATAGTAAAAGGCTCTTAAGAAATCAAGAGTGACCCCAGATCTCTGGCTTTGACAACTGAAAGAATGGTGGTGTCATTTATTGCGGGGGGTAGGGGGGTAGGGATGACCAGGGTAGATGAAGCGTCTCAAGGAGGAACTGGCTTTGGAAAAAGCATTAATACAGCTTGCGGCACCCTGCAAGACACACCAGTGAATACACACACCATGGTGAGCTGGAATGAGAATAGAGTTCTGAGCTGGAGGCAGGGTTATGGGACTCATCATAATTTAGGTGGTACCTGAAGACCAGGAAATAATCACCCAGGGATCACGTGTACAGGGATAAGAAACAGCCCAGGAAGAGCCTTGAGGAACAGCAGCAATAAAGGAACAGGCATAAAAGTGGAGAGAGGGAAGAGCCAAAGTAGGAGAAAAATGGAGAGAGCAGGTAACAAATGATTCAAGAATGAGGCGGTGTTCAAAGATTCCTGCAAGGTCAAGCAAAACAGATTGAGAAATGTCTTCCAGAGAAAATCTCACATGTGCTACAGAGGTATAAATACTAATGAAACACAGGTTAAGATGATACCTAGGATGGACATATGACAAGTAGTTTATTTTTAAAAATACTAAAATAATATACAGCACTTCCCACATATTAAGGGCAAGGAACAATGTGACGAAGTACAGAAGACTTTCTTGTGTAAATTGTCATCTTCTCTAACTTGAAATTAAATATGAAAATTCTTGATTTAAAGATGTGTTTATAAAATATAGTTTTGTAATACTTCAAAGACTGGACTATGGTTTACTAACTGATCGAGAGGGAGAGACCTCAAGTACTTTGTTTAGCCTGAGGTTCATTCATGACAAGACAGGCTATGCTTATATCAATAGTTACTGTAATATAATTTACACATACCCTCCCATTAATTCAAGGACATGTTTCCAAAGGTAATACGAGTACAGCAGCAGCAAAATGGGAAGCTGAATGGAGCTCTTCTGTCTTCACATAATTCTTTAGTTAAACCCTGTCAGTACAAAAGGCTTCTCGCTAGTATTAAAAAGTGATATGATTTTTTGATGTAATTGTTTTATAAGCTTACTCTAGCCCAAGAAGTAGTAATAACCAGCAATGTATGAAAATTATATCATAAGGAATATTGAATATTAAAGTATACTGCTGTCTACTGCAGCTGCTCCCTGGTATAAATCATTTCATTCACATAAATTCATATGCAGAAGTGAATGAGACACAGATATTTCAGCAGGATTCCGATTTCATGTCTTTCATAGGGCAACAGGGAATAAAATCAGTGCTTTTCGCAAAACATATTCAAGCTGGTACAGGTTTACTTTGCTACAGTTTGGGAAACAGCGGGGATCATCTGAATCAGGCAAAAGCACACCTGGACTCAGGACACTGACCTTAGTACATTTCTTACATTTTCAGGCTCACTATGTCAACCCATGTTTTCCTGTGAACAACTTTGAAAGGTGTCACTCATTTTAGTTTGTTTCAGAGGCTCTAGGGGCAAGATCTATTGTACAGTGTAAGTTCTGTGAGAGAAGGGCCACTTGTGTTTTATTCACCTTTGTATCTCCAGGACCTAACACATTTTCTGAATACAGTGGACATACAATAAATATGTTTAATAAATATGTACTGTTTGAGGAATGTGAAATTATTCAGTTTCAGAAAAAACTAATAGACAACAATATATCTTGTAAACTTACTGTTGAGAATTTTTCAGGTAGCACTTTAAAGGGCTGTCATTAAAATGATCAATTAATGATCTGGCAACCAATACAAACTATTATTCAAGAAAACTAACCCAGTAACCTAATATGAGGGATTAGCATTTACAGTTTTACTTCAAAAGCCAATGTTTCTATATCACACTGTTTTCCACTCTGAAATTTTTAGTTACAGTTACATTGTTCTCTTATTGGTGTAAAAATTAATCTTATTACTATTAACTCAGTCTATATTTAGAAATGAAAAATAATACAAAAGTCAATAGTGAATAATCTTTCAAAACCTGAGTGTAGAGGTAGTCGCCTCTACACTATCCACTGAACTCAAGAGCACATTTTTATTGCAAAATATAACTGAGTTATAGGATTGGATGAATAATCATCCCAACCTAAAACATTTGCTTTATATTCTTATTAAACATGGACTTTAAAATTAAGAAAAACACAATTTTCTGTTTGTATAATTTGCCAGTAATTTTTTCTTAAATGATTTAGAAATGTTAGAATTTGAGCATCAACAAAAACAAATTTTACATTTTCAACCCTTTTCTGTTCTTTGTAAATTGTCAGGTCCCAACTATTTTCTATAGATGGCACATAATTTATAATAAATTTATAAAATGTTTCCTTTTCAGATTCCAACATTAATTTTTGATTTTATGTCTATAAATTTTATTTTATTTTTTTTGATGTTTGTTTTTTAAAGATTTTATTTATTTATTTTTTAGAGAAAGGGGAAGGGACGGAGAAAGAGAGGGTAAGAAACACTGATGTGAAAGAGATACATTGACTGGTTACCTCTTGTACATGCCCTGACTGGAGGCCAAACCCACAACCTAAGCGACTTTTTTTTGCTTTTGCAAGATGACACCCAACCAACTGAGCCACACCAGTCAGGGATATATGTAATTTTTCTTTAACTTTAACTTTCAAATCCCCTGAAGAAGAACATATGTTTCTACTTCAAATATTTTCACTTACTTGGAAAAACATAATCATACCATTCCTTCTCACCCCTAATTACATAGTGCAGCATGTATTTTGAACTAACCATGGTATGATATAACAGATATCAGTGAAAAAGCAGGCACTTAAGGGGAAAACACTCAACCTTCTGTGAAGGAGAAAGTGGAGAGAGGAGGTAGGAGTCGAAGCTCAACACTCTGGAGAAGCCAAAGGATAAAGACTCATCCCCTCCCAGCCTTTGTCAGAGGCACCCATTTCAGATAAACAAATGAACAACAGTTGTTTCTTGTTTCTCATTACCAGCCACAACATTGCTGAATAGAAGAGAACTCTCAGCTCTAAGCAGGAAGGTGCACATTCCAGCTAAAAGTGCCTTTAAGGTTCCCATCTTGTCTGTTGACTTAGCAATAGAATTATCAGTGCAAAAGCAGGAATGTTTTGACAAGTGAATTAAGAAAACATATCACAACTCACTGACAATACAATAAACTATATAGCAAGCAAAGATAATTTATAGTGTTTTGAGGTAAAGTCTCAAGACTTGCCATTCTCTGTCCAACACTGGGACCAAAACTCTGTCTTATTACAATTTCAAATGCTAGTACCTTTTGTCTTTTTATTTCTTCATTCTTTACCTCATTGCACTTGCTTATTCGCCTCGCAACAATGAGCTGGATCATTCCCCGCTTGTTCCCTTCAGTGGACATAGACCTTCTGAGGGTTTCCATGGCGTCTTGGTTTGTCTTGCCCAACAGGGATTCTCCGTTCACTGCGATCAGTTGATCATTCACCCGAAGTCTTCCATCCTGGGAAACAAACAGGTAAAAATAAGTGCTATTAAATAGTCTGTTATAAAGGAAGTTGTTTTCCTTTTAGTTAAAAAAAAAAAAAAAAAAAAAGCAAAAAGGGCAGGGGGGTGGGGCTTTAATCCTAATGAATTTGCCCAACTGAACACGAGCATAATAGTGTCTAAGCAGTCACTGTAGCCTTTGTCCATTCCAATCATTTGTACATTTGTAAATCAAGTCATTATCATAATCTGTTTACCAAAATAGCATACTAATTCAAAGGACACAAAGTGATTACTTTCTTGCTTCACCCACTGAGGTTATTTACAACCCAAGACATGCAAAAGCTTAAGGCTATAAGACCAGTGCAGAGAGAAGTGTCCCCTTAACAAACTGCCAGGAAATTTTCTCTAGACGGGGAAATAGGACAAATGATCCATAGACAGGGAAAGGGAAGAGAAAAGATTAACCTTTATTGCATGGCAGCTCAGTGCCAGAACCAAAACTAAGTATTTGCATAGATTATCTTCATTTAACTAGAATGATTATAGGTTGCAAATTCTGTAAGACAAAAAAATGGGGAGTTGAAGCCACGGAAGCCATTTTAAAATGAGAGATCACTGAGATTTATTCTAGTTGTTTGATCATGGATGGGATATTACAACAACAACAACAGAAACCTAGAAAACATTTGTTACTTGTTAAAGGTTATCAAAATATGCCAGCCCCCAAAACCCCACTGTGGCATAAGAATTATTTCGAGTTGAAGGAAACTAAGAAATGGCAGACACAGCAAGGGTTCCCTGCCCTCCCCTTTCTGCCAAAATACGGGACATAAATTTTCTTTAGGGAAGGTGTCCCCTAGCCTCTCCCAAACCAGGGTAGGGAGGACAATGTTTTAACACCAGAACAGCGATGGCATTGAGAAAAGTCTACACAAACTCTATAAAATGAAATTTATCTATCATTATTTTCCCTCACATATTTACCTTCCCAAAAGTAACAGCCCCTTGGAGCCAAAACCCTTTTTCCTTTTTTAAACAGTTCTTCACAATGTATTGCCCTTTGCTTAAATGATACAGAAGCTTCCAAGTCAGTTCCAAGTTGCTTCTTCAGTTTTCACTTCTTTTCTGTGGAGCCCCAATACAGATCAAATTTAAAATACAGCTTCAATATAATGAGTAACTCGTTCTGTTAATCTGTCATTTGTCAGTTTAATTCACAGTCCTCAGAAACAGAATCTATGAGGCTACAGAAAATTTGTTTTCCCCTACAGTGTATATGTTTCCTAAAACAGGTATAGGGCTGAATTAAACATTTTGTTATTGGGCATAAACTTGATAAAGTTGACATTTGCTTACTTTGGATGCTGCTCCTCCATTAATAATGGACTTGACAAAGATTCCCAAATCCGCATGGTTCTCTTTTGACCGGTTGCCCTTGACACTGACGCCAAGACCAGCTGATCCTGAATCATTAAGTGGAACTTCAAATGTCAAAAATTCCCTGGTGCCATCAGGTGTGAGAACAACATCCTCCTCTTCTGCTTTCTAGTGGGGAACAAAATTGCACAGTACATTATATTCCAATGTTTCTTTCTTACAAATATTTTTAAAGACTGCTAATAAGCAGTTCTAAATCATCGCAGATACAGAATCTCCACCATAGTTCCATGACAAGATCCAGGATAACAGTGCGTACCCTTCCAAATGATTCCTGGAGCTAGCTGTTAGTATTTTTATGCAGCATGTATTTCAATATTAAAACAAAACAAATCCAGATTCTCAGAAAAATAGGGGGGATGTAATGAAAGGACTGAAGACATGTATACCCCTAGAGTTTGGGATTATATTTTTTTGGTGGGAGAAGGTCTTTTTTTACAGGGTGGAGCAAAAATAGGTTTACGGTTATATGGGAAAAAGAGTTTACTCTCATATTATTTATTAATTATTGTATTATTTTCAATACAAACATCTGTAAACCTACTTTTGCCCCACCCTGTATATATTCTAAACCACAGGAGGAAAACAGTGCCAGTAGGAATCAAAATAAACATAATTCATTTGTCCTTTTAATTAGGAATTTGCAATGTTATTAATAGTTTTATGTTGACTAATGGTGCACCGTTTTATTCACAAAACAGTAACAAGTCTTAATGAGAGTCAGCAGGAAAAAGTTTTTCATTTTCAGAGAGCCACTAGAGAGTTTTAATTTTCAACATGTGAGACAAAGTAGAGAGAAACAACACAAGAGAAAATTTTTCACAATACTGAACCATACATAATACAGATGGTAAGTATTATTTAAGCAATAGTGTTTAATTAATTAGTTGCATATGCAAGCTTCGATTTCATAACTGCAGTCATCAAGGCATAAAAGACTTAGAACACAACATATTTTAAGTTACACGAACTCTTGCCCATCTTTAACAGAACAACGTAAAAATAAAAGCTTAAAGTATAACCTGATTAAATGCAGTGAGATGACATATTCTGTCAATAAAAACGTATGCCACAAGAGGAAGCACTGTGCCTCCTGAGCCCCGCCAGCCCCACCCCAGCTCCTCCTCAGTCATCCTACCCGTGGCCAAGACTTCGACCACCGAGATCTCTACACTGGTCGCTTCCAAATGAGGAAGGCCAGAATTCTTTTTCAAACTCAGTATTTCCAACCATATAATGGACATGTAGCAGGAGCTCTTCAAATCAGAACCATATGCCTCATCTAGTACTACAACTTATTTCTCCTCCTCTTTTCCCAATTTTGAAATACTAGTCCAGCATCCACCTAGCCACTCAAGTTGGAATTACCAAATTATAATGAAGAATGGTTAAATATATAGTGGTACATAATTAGGCTAGAATGTAATTCCTCCTTTAAACATTGTGCTTTTAAAGAATGGCTCAATTATATACATGAAAGCAGGCTAGTGCAGAGTGATGAAAATATGGGTAGACTTAAATTTTTTCTTTGTAACCTGACAAATTTGTTAAACTTCCTAGTAACAAACAAAATTAACATAATTATAAAGTAATTTTTAAAAGGAGCTTAGGGACTTAACATACAATCTGAAATATCTCAATTAGATTAAACGATTTTTACAAGTACAGAATTAATCAGTATGAGATTATTTTTTAGATTATGTTAATACAAAGAGATACCATTTTAAAATCAGAAATCCTTAATAATGTAATCTGTAAAGTGCTGTTCATAATTTAATAATATTCAATGTTAACATTTTATGGTATGAAATCCATTGTGCAGCTCAAAGAACAGCCTCATAGTTATGAGAACAAGGGACACTTCAAAAAATAAAATCAGTAATATTTAAAACAGGGAAACTACACAATAAAAACTATAAATAAGAACAGCTTTGTAAAGATACAGAGCAATGGCTGTGTTAACTAAAGAAAGTAAACAAGTGTCAGTATCCCAGTAAACAGAAAGCTAAGCTGGCTCATTATAAAAACTTCCTTATATTCAAAACATTCCTAGAGAATCATCACAGCTCAAATAAAACCAATGTATTGCGGAAGAAATAAACATCAAGTACTCACATCAAAATACTAACATCATTATCACTATTTATTATGGAAAAGTATCTTTACATACTTACTTTGCTCTATAAACTTTTTTTATCCATATGGTTAAAAACAAAGAATACTAACCAATGACTTTGTATGAATACTACAAATATTTTGTATCGACTACAGCTATGTCGATATAAAATGTTATAAAAACATGATATATAGGTACATTGCCTTTTTTAATATACCAAATAACATCAAAACACACCACAGTCCCCTTCTACTTTAACTTCAGAAGTAATTGAAAGATAAAATGTACTTTGTGAATCAGTATTAATATTCCTGGTTTCAAAGAATTTGAATGGACATGGAAACGGAAGTGTCCATGGCTGGGCCCATTTGGATCTGATCACTTGGTATGTTTATTTGCTCTTCAAAAACCACTTACGTGCTTCATTACAGAGAACTTTTACAAAGTCTTCATAGTGTAAGGATTGCTTCATTCAGATACAAAAGAGAAGCCAATTTTCAATCACCTTGATTATTACTTCATCCAGATTCTGTACTTTATCAAGTTTCTTGAGTCAAATTATTTCTATAGAATTTATTCCTCAAGTCATTTGTACATAATTATATCCCTCATATACATACATGTATGTACACGCACAATGATTTTTTTCCCCATCAAAGCAACCAATCAGTTCTTCTTTTGCTCATTATTATATTAGCATTTTGCCCTTTTAATATCAAAAAAATAGGGCATTTTTACTGAGCATATTAAAAGCAGGGAACCAACAGAATGGGTAGTATGGAAACTATTTCCTCTCCCCCATCCTCAGAACAGCAGAAAAGATGCACACTTCTGTCTTCAGTGAGACAGCAAAAACGGCCACAAGTCCCAACTTTCTCTCCTCCCCAACAGTCTGACACCAGACCCTCTGAATCTGTGGTGCATCTGCTAAATGCGTAGATCGACGAGAGGAAATAAACACTGGTTGTATTGAACAGCAGAAATATAATCATGAGAAATCTGAGCCTCAATATATGAAAATCTCATGAGTGCATAAAATATCGTGGAGAGGCAAAAGAAATATGATTTGATACATGAGTCCATAAAATTAGAGATATGCATACAAGAGTTGATAATAGTTGTGCGGTGAAATGACTCACCACACATTTTATCACTTGTAAAATCTGATTCTTGCTAATAGTTTTGTCTTTGGTCCCAGTTATTGATATAGAGCTCCTAAATCCCTCAGAATTGTTTGAGCAATAGGAGCATCTTTTGTTCTCATGCGCTGCTTCTTGATGGGGGCTGGTCACACAAAAGACCAAGCCATGATGAGAAGCTTGAACTTTCAGCCCTACCTCCACTCTCTAGAGAGGGAATAAAAATGAAGCTAATAATCAATCATACCTACACAATGAATCCTCCATAAAAGTCTCAAAAGTATGGGGTTCAAAGAGCTTCCAGTTTGATGAACACATCCACATGCCAGGAGGGTGACACAGCCCTACCCACAGGCTCAGTAGCTCTTGAACTTGGGACCTTCCAGGCTCCACCCTAAATATCTTTTCAAGTAACTATTCATCTGTGTCCTTTAACACATCCTTTGTAATAAATCAACAACAGTAAGTAAACTGTTTTCCTGGGTTCTGTGAGTTACTCCAGCAAATTATTGAACCCAAGGAGATGGCTGTGGGAACCTCTGGTTTGGAGCCGAGTCAGAAGTTTTGTGTAACCTGAGGACCTACTCCTTGACATTGGCATCGGCATCTGAAGGGGGTGACAGTCTTGTGGAACTAAGTCCTAACTAATTCCGGATTAATGTCAGAACATCTTGGTGTAGAAAAGTCCTACGTCTGCTATCAGGTGTCAAAGGTGTGAGTAGAGAAATAACAGTAGAGTTTGTTCCTGCTCATTGCTCTACCATAATTCACTGATTTCTCTTTCACTTCCTCTCCATAGTTAATGGTTTTATCGCATAGGCCATGATAAATTATTAAAATATGAACATTTCCACATTGGATGGGAAAAATATGTGAATGAGCAATCCATTAAAGATGAGTGGACCAACAAATAAGTAAAAGATTCAATCTTACTTGCAACAGAAGGCATGCAATCAACAAGTTATCAAATTGCTAAAACAAATTTTAAGTAATGATATTCAAGAATACAGAAGGTATGGTAGGTAAAATGGGTACTTTCTTCACTGCTTTCACTGCTGGTGAAAATATAAACAGTTGCACTATTTATGGAAGCCAAATGGACAATGCTTATCAAAAGCTTTTTATTTTGCTTATTAATCCAAATATAAAACTTTTAGTATTATGGTATTAAAAAACTAATTGTGGTCAGGAACAAAGATATAATGGTTAGGATGTACACTGCTTTAATCACAACACCTAAAAACTGAAAACAAGCTACACATGTGATATCAAGTACATGAAGATATACTACACAGTGGAATACTACTCATCTATTAAAGTACCTTCAAAAAACATTTAGTGAGACAGAAAAGCAGTTATGACTAAGAAACTGGGTTTGATCCCACGAACTTCATAATTTCCAGTACTTCGCACCTACTATCAGCTCTGATATCATATTCTTATAAATTGTTTACTGTCTATCTTTTCCTATCAGTGAAAGCTTCACTAGAAAGTGACATATAAGTCTTTCCTTCTGCTAGGGACGTAATAGTTATTAGTTACATGGTATGTGTCTGTGATGTGATATCTATTAGTTACATAGATAGTGAAGAAAATCATGAAAAAATGCATGTCAAAATGGTGGCATTGAAGTCACATAATTGCAAGCGATTGGTTTTTTTTCCTGTGCTTGACTGAATTTTCTACCATTAATATACCTTACTTTTTGTATTATAAAACCTCATTGCATACTATTTCTTTAATGCTCCTTCAAAAAAGCAGTATGGGAGAAAAGAAAGAAGTGGATTATTGTAAATGTTGGGCAGGGGCTGGTGCTGGGAGCAGGGAGACGGACTAGATGTGGATACTCTATG